TAAATAGTCTACCTCAACCTGAAGCATATGAATTTCACTTTGAGCCACTTTTAAAGTGTCATCTGTAAGATCAGTCATAACAATTCATCTATACACAAACATATGAATACTTGAATACATTCTCTGTTTACTTGGGGAGCTATTTTCAAGTTAATATGCAACTTCAGAGAGTTTGGCTTGATGAAACTATTGCATGAATACTTTTTTTCACATAAAGATAACTAATAAGTATTAATTTTTGTCTTGGTGAATTTTTGTGTTGCATAAACTTATGCACAACATCCCTGCTCATTTTTTTATTATAATAAGAGAAACAGATAGGATGCTAGCTACAGAATGCAAATTACCTCCCTGAATCCCTACTCAGTGCTGAATATAAATGCTAGCTTAAAGTTTTTTTTGTTAATAGCTATTTCCTTTCCCCAACTTAACTGTTCTAGGTTTCTGACAGAGCTACAATGACTGGGTATAATTAATACTGCATTCCTTGTGAGTACAGTAGTACATGTTTTCCTGGTGAACAAAATACTCACCAACCCCATCCAGTAAAGAACACAGGCATCAGCCCAGTAATAACAATGTGCATGACAGTAACTTTGATGAGCATCCCACAGCCCCGTGAGTGAAATCTTCACCATCCATGTGAATGATATCCCTGTTAGCTCTGAACAATACACCCACCCACCAGCATTATGCATACACCCAACCTTCAACATAACACTTTCCAATTATGAACAATATACTCACCAGAATTGTTTAATACACACACCAGCCTTACATATAGTACACCCATCAGCATAACAAACAATACACCCACCAATACAATATACACACATTCCAGCACTAAACAGTACACACCTGCATTAGACAATGTAACCATCAGCACTACGGTCATTGCAAACCTGTACTAAATAATACACATCTGCACTGAACAATACTCTATCCAGCATTATGAACAATACACACCTGTACTGAACAATACCACCTCCAGCATTATGAACAATTCACATCTGCACTAAACATATCCACCTCCATTTAACAGTACACACCTGCACTAAACTACATACCTACACAGAGCAATACATCCTCCATCATTATGAACAATACATACCTATACTAAGTACTCACCTGTAATAAACAATACACACCTGCAATAAACAATACACACCTACAATAAACTATACACACCTACACTAAAGAGTATACACCTGCACTAAACTACACACCTACACTAAACACACACCTGCAATAAATAGTACACCTGCAATAAACAAAACACACTGCACTAAGCATTGCATACCTGCACTAAGTAGTACAAACCTGCAATAAATAATACACACTTACCAAACAGCACACACCTGCACTGAACATTACCTGCAATAAACAGTACACACCTGCAATAAACAATGCACACACTGACACTGAACAATACTCACACCAACACTGTGAACAATACACACACACACCAGCACTGTGAACAATACACACACACACCAGCACTGTGAACAATACACACACACACACACCAGCATTGTGAACAATACACACACACACACACACACACACCAGCACTGTGAACAATACACACACACACACACACACACACCAGCACTGTGAACAATACACACACACACACACACAGGCACTGTGAACAGTACACACACACACACCGGCACTGTGAACAGTACACACACACACACACACTGGCACTGTGAACAGTACACACACACACACACACACACACACACACACACACACACACACTGGCACTGTGAACAGTACACACACACACACACCAGCACTGTGAAACAATACATGCACCAACACTGTGAACAATAAACACACACCAAAACTGCGAACAATACACACACACCAAAACTGCGAACAATACACACACACACACACACCAAAACTGCGAACAATACACACACACACACACACACACACACACACAACCAAAACTGCGAACAATACACACACACACACACACACACACACACACACACACACACCACACACACACACACACACACACACCAAAACACACACACACACACACACTGGACAGTACTCACATCTGCACTGTGAACAATACACACACCAACACTGATCAGTACACACACCAGCACTGAACAATACTCACACCAGCTCTGTGAACAATACACACCAACACTGATCAGTATTGACCAGTACTGAACAATACTCATACCAGTACTGAACAATACTCATACCAGTACTGAACAATATTCACACCAGTACTGAACAATACTCACACCAGCACTGAATAATACTCCCACCAGCTCTATGAACAATACACACACCAGCACTGATCAGTATTCACCAGCACAGATCGGTACTCACACCAGCACTGAACAACACTCACACCAGCTCTAATGAATACACACACCACTTTATCAAGTCACAAACAGATTAGTTTGTGATAACTCACTAAAAGTCACAATTATGAGTTGGATTGAACTGTATCTCTATACCTTTTGGTTTATAGAATGTATAAATCTGGGGCAAATGGAAAATGTAAGAGATATTCCAGGAAGAATTTGAAGGAAGCTTTGAGAAATAGGGACTTCAGCATCAGCTGTTACGTGTGAGTGTGAAGACAAGTAGTTTTGGGGATCTGATGCAGTTTTTAGTGGTAGCTTAATAGTTATGAGACATTCTTCCTCATCCCAATGTCAAGTTATTGTAATGCTATGGCAAAGCTTTGTGTCTTGCAGAGAGGGCCTGTGTGAGGGGTGCTTGCCTGACTTGGAACGTATATCTCTTGGCAGGGTGAAGGATTGTGAAAGCGTTTTTTTCGGGTCCCCCTGCCTCAGTGGGAGAAGGCCAATGTTAAAACAAATTAGGGATTTCACTTTTTTTTAAATTTTCCTACACTTTAGGGCCAGTGATATGGAACACCTTATGAATACAGGTTGTGGAATGTGAAAAACTGACTTAGAATGGTTTTACTTTGTGTAATTGATTTCTGTAACATAATGGTGACTTGGTAATGGCAGCAGGTTGTTGTTGATAATGTTAAAATTGGTGTATATTTAAAGTGCTGAATAACCATACATTCATAGTGCTTTGCAAATAATGCCAAAAGTATCTATTAGGGAATTTGGGAAAACCAGTTAGTCGGACCCGAGTTCTCAAGATGGAGATATTATATGGGGACTGCAAGTTTAGGTTGAAAAATAGTGTGCTGGGACTGCACTTTGAAGGTTGGAAGTAATGTACGGAAACTACACTTTGAAGATTGCAGGGATCACTTAAAGTTGTATTGTTCATGTCCTTTTGAAAATGTTGCTTGGGAATGAGTGATTGTGAGTGCTTTTCCATTTTTGGGTCACTACTTTTAGAAATGGAGGTGGTAAATTTTTTCATTTAATTGCTGGATTCTTAATTAACACCACATTTTTACAATTGTGACAGTAGTAGAAGTGAGAGAGAATTTTGTCTTTACTACATTGTGCGCCCACTCTGCATAACCTCGCCGTGAATTTTCATTAAAGCTCCAATTTACTGTATCTTTGAGGTACAGTATATTATGCTCACGCATTTTGAGGATATTTAGAGTATACACTAGGGTTTGATGGCACGGCTGAATCGAAGCACAATTATAACAAACAGAACATACTTTACTCTGAGGCATTGTGAACGTTTCCCAACTTGAAACCAGCCATCAGGGACTGTTTATAATATTTAGTCTTCTGTGTTCAAGAAAATATCTGAAAATGTGTTTTCTGATAAACATTGTGTTGAAAACGTTAGGTAACACCTGATTAACATAGATACAGTACGTTATATTTTCACGTGTGTATAATATTTTTTTAAGTTTTCATCTCTTCTACTGCCCGTTTCTGTAATAAATGTACAAAACGTTCTTCATAATACAAAATTGGGTAAACTAACCATTATAGTCCTGTGGAAATTACTGTTACCAAACCAGGTAGCTTGCTTAATGCACCTATGAGTTAGTAATCTAAAGACTGAATTAAATTCTGTGAATTGCATGTATGGAATGTAAAAATGTACAATGCTTGACAGACAGTGAATTTACATTTAACAAACACACAAGTTGTGAGTGGATATTTCTTCAAGTGCAGTTACAAAATTTTGCTGTACTTCAAAGGAAAAATGCTTTAAAATCATCAAGTAATATTGTGCATAAGGGATATTTGAGATTTTGTTATAATGGAGGTATTTCTTTTAGTACCTTCCACTTACACATTGAATAAAGGATCTATTTCATATTGTATGAATATTAGCAATTTTTCATATACTAAAGGAGAAAGTTACCATTTTGAAATTTGAGTATAATATTTATATTTAGATACACCACAGATTGAGAAACCTTGTATCGAAATTGAAGTACAGATCAGAATATATGGATGAATGTTTACTGAAGTAGACCTGTACAGTGGATTGTACTACACAAGAAACTGTGGAAGACTTAACGTTCATGCTTTTGTATGAATCATTCTTTGTAATATCCTCAAGGAAAATGACTTGACTTGCATCTAATACATTTATATGTCTTACTTTGAAATTATCTCATAAATGACAAATTAGGATTTAGGAAAATAGAAATTGAGCAGTAGCTGTATTAGTGTAAATTAGGAGGCTTGTTGTTCTGGAAGTAAAGTTGCTAATTCTCTTTAATTGCAGGGTCACAACTTCTTGGGTAAGTTATTTAGGAATTTAGGTTGGTTAAATAGAAAGATATAGGCCTTTACTAGTCAAAAACTTAATTTATGGATAAAGAGATTACCCATTTCAGCAGGTCCTGCTCTCGGTGTGTCCCAGGTACGTATGTTAATGTTTAAGATGGGATGGGAGGGAGGGCACGCACAGAGGAACTGCTATTAACCTGTTCTTCCAGACTGTCTTTACAGAGGAGACTAGGCTGAACACAGCCTCTCTAACCTTAGGGTTGGGCAGGATCTAAAAACCTAAGTGCCTAATGGCTCTTGTTTATCTCCTCTGATACGGAACAGACGAATGTATACCCATCGGCTCAGAGGCGTAAAATGAAGGGTTTTGCTGGCTTCAAACGACGTGCAGTTGTTATTTGTCCCACTGATGAGGACCTGAAGAAACGAACTGAGAAGCGAGAGAACGAGGAAGGCAAGGATGTTCCGGACAAGGCTGTCCTAGAGATGAAAGGTAAATAAGCGATGCAGGTAATCGTACTGACCATGGGCTCTCATGGCCAACCTTTCACAGTGTTGTCTACTTCCATTGACAAATAACCTATGTTTTCTCAGTGTTTGGATGCTTACCCCCTTTAACTATTGCTCCGTACACTTATTCTAAGGTTCATATTTTCTTTCTTTTTTCTCCCTATGCAGTCACCCTCAAAAAAGGGGAAGGTTTTCATTGACTGACTTCAATATTAAACAAATGTCATTGATATTTGAAAAACTAGCTGTTTGTAAAATTACATGCTTTTGTCATTGAAAGCCTTCTCTGATTGTGTAATATATTGTTATGACATTAAAACATTTTTGGTGTGCAGCCAACTTCAAACTGCCTGAGGAGGGTGACCTGTTTGATTCGGTGGAGTTCGTGGAGTTGCAACGTGAGGAGAGTCAGAAGTTGGTAGAACAGTATAACAAAGAAGGAGAAGCAGCTGGATTTGGGCAGAAGAAGGGCTTTAGAGGCGGATTCGGTGATAGACGTGGCGGATTCATGGATCGCAGGGGTGGCTATGGTTAGTCTTCATTATTTATAAGCAAAACATGATGGTGTGAAGTCCTTATTTACATTAATATATGTATATATATATCTTTTTGTATATACATAAGCATATAGTGTGTATGATTAAGTTCTTAGGATTGTCAGTGTTTTTCTTGTAGGTAATCGTGGGAATAGTTTCCGAGGTGGTTGGGATAGAGATCGTCGTGGTGGTTATAATGACCGTCGGGAAAGAAGCAGTTGGAATCGTGATCGTGACAGTCGCGACTACAATCGAGGTGGATACAATAGAGATAGCCGGGGCAGTTATAACCGTGACTATAATCGTGGCAGTTACAACAGAGATAGCAGAGGCAGCTACAACAGGGATCGTGGTGGCCGTACTGGAAATTACCAAAGCAACTGGAACAGGAATTCGGTAAGGAATAGATGTAAAATCGCTTGATAGAAAATGTTGTCTTATCGAGGATTTTTGTTAAAAAAGGTTAATGTTTGAATGCAACAAAATATATATTATATTGAATGTTGCAGGTAGGAATGGGTAATAAAATACAAATGAAGTCCCTGTAATATGACTTGTTGACATAGATTTTTGGCAACTTTTAATATATTACATGTATTAGCAATATGTACTTCATACCAGTTTAACATGCGCATTTGATAGAAACCTGTTTAAATTATATTTTGATTGCAACTGCTGGTTAAAAGCATAATGAAGTGCCCTAATGATTATTTTCATTCTGATTAATAGAAGATTAACTTACTGATGTCGAGGCTTGTGTAGTATGTACCAGAGTCCTAGTGTAGAGGATGTTGGACCTTGTTTCTACATTACTGCTATGAATTTGTCATTGTTTTGAGCTGCCTGATTTTTTTTAATAGTTTTTTTAATCTGCCAGATTTCTAGCTATTGAGCCATATTGGTACACTTAAAAAAATTTTTATTGATAAGTATTAAAATGTGATGTATGAAATTACTAACTTTACAAAGTTTTGTTTATTTCCTGATTATTTCTTTTATTGTACAATTTAACTTAGGTGCCTGGAACAATGTTATACTTTAACAATGTTCTCTTGGAAGATAGCCAGGGGTTTGCTGGTAATTTTCCTTATGCACAAAGGAAATGTCTTCATCTACTTATATTGATGGTATTCTTATTATATTCGCTGCACCTCTACTTTTCATTGCAGGTATTTTTCACAGTTTGCCAAATTTCTTGCATTCATAGAAAATTATTTTAAGTGTGCAAGTTTGGAACCAGTTACTTATGATTTTCCAGGTACCTGGAAAATTATGAGTGACTGGTTCCAAACTTGCACACTAAAATTGGTGCAATAAGTATATGGATTTTTATATATTGTAAACATTATAAATTAGTATTCGAGTCAACTTCTCTAGTGGAGTGGAAAAAAGTATCAATTGTAGCTTAAGAAATTTGAGATATCCAGTGATAAGCTGCATTAACTCGTAAACTGTCCAAACGTAGATCTACATATGCACGTGTAGCGCTCTGTACGTAGGTCTAAGTTTTATTTTTCATTCCTTCAAATTTTTCATGATAGGCCTGACTCTCTTAGACACGAGAGAATGGGTCTGCACCCTAAGTGTGTGCAGAACGAAAAAATTTGGGGACGCTGGGGTACCGCGTGGTAGCACTAAGTTAGTTTCAGCTCCATCTTGGGTTATCATGGCAAACCCTGGAGATTCACTCGTGCCTCGTCGTATTAACACACTACTATTCTCGGAAAGTGTAACAGAATGTGAGGTTAGTGAATTTGATACCGATATAGCCACTAATGTTCAAGGAATTAGTGAAACTGTTGATGATAACCCAGATGACCCTCAACCAATCACTTCTGGGGTGACCAGTGTAGACAGTGTGGCCATACCAGACCCTCATCCCAGTACCCCTGGGGTTGCTAGTGTTGCTACCCAAAGGCAACTCCACAAGAGGAAAGTATCATTTTCCAAGCGTTATCATGTCGACGATAGTGAAAGTGATATAAGTGACGATGATGAAATCTATTTTATGCCCATAGAGGATTCGTCAAGTGATGGTACTTTTAGGCGGCGTAACCTACGTTCAGGCAGTGTGCCATGTGCAGTCGGCAGCAAGGGTCGTGGCAGGTCACAATCCAAAACCCCAGCTAGTGATAGTGGTCAAGACAGTGAATATGCTGGGATGGAGGAGTAGGAGGAGGGTGGCATGGTGCCTGGACCTCATGGCGTGGTGGGTGGGCAGACAAAGGACCGCCTGGCACCATCTCAGACTTGTGCTGCCTCCACTCCTGTCCCTCATGCCCCATGCCACAGGTCCACCCTGCGCCATGTGACCACGACTGGAACTGGATAGAAAGTACACCATTCTTGCCACATCTTTCAGTTTTGATGCCAGTGGAGGTGGTATCATGCCACACTGTCCCATCACAAGTGAGTCTACAGAAACTATTTTCAGCTATACTTTGATGAACCGATAGTGAACCTGGTCCACAGACCACTTCATCAGTACTCCAGTCTTCCGTGACCACCTTCCCTGCAACAGATTCACTCTGTTGGTACAAATGTTGCACTTCTCAGACAGGGATACGCCAAACCGAAATGACCTCCAATACAAAATCAGGGAATTGTTTGTCTTTGAAGCAAAAATTCAGTGCCTACTTTTATCCATTCCAGAACATTGTTGTTGACGAGTCCTTGATTCTGTACAAGGGATGACTCGTTCAAACAATATATGCCAAGCAAACGCAATTGCTTTGGTATAAAACCTTGTTATGTGTGACTTTGAGACTGGTCTTGTGTTGGATGTCATTATTTACACAGGGAAAAAACACACTCAACAATGCCAGGCACATGTTGGGCATTTCTGGGGATGTTCGCATGATGATGCAGCCACACTTTGGCAAGGGTCATACATTGTTCACAGACATCTGGTATACAAACCCTATGCTTGCTGATTTCTTACGTGTGAACATTACTGATATATGTGGAACAGTGAGAAGTAGAACACACATGCCAATGTTCACTGGAGGAAGTGTAGTGCAAGCGTTTCATGGCACTGACGTGGCATGACAAACGGGACGAGACGTTGCTGTCAACCATCCACAGAAACGAGATGGTAACAAACGATAGACTGAGCAAGCACAAAAATGAACCTATTGTAAACCCAGCTGCTGTCATCAACTATTGAAAATATGCGATAGGAAAAGTGTGAGTGATGTTTAGGGTTTATTGATGTTTTTGACATTTGAATGTAATCCCTCACATATATGAATAAATCAGAGAAGAACGCGATGGCAGGAATTCACCGTCAATGTATAGTCAGTGGACCCCCCCCCTAACGATATTAATCGTTCATGAGACCCTTTTGTTATGCGAAATTTACGTTTGCGAATAAATTTTTCCCCCATAAGAAATAATGGAAAATAAAAATTTAAATCCGTGCAAGACACCCGAAAGTATAAAAAAAAAAAAAAATTTCCCCCCCACAGAAATATACTTTTTCCTACACACAAAGAGAAAGGATACTGCACAATGTAGGGAGTACATGCCAGTTATTTTGTGCTTTGTACTATTATAAATAAAGAAAAAATGAACCTTTATTAAGTGCAGCAATGATGATGAGACAGGTCCTGGGGTGCTTTTCCCTCCGATATGTAGGTCTGTTTGGCTTTTTTTCCCAGAACGGGGCCTTATCACATGTGTATGTCACTACGATTCTTTAAATCCCCAAAACCAACTTTGCGGGCTTTAAATTCACCAATAGGGGAAAAAGTTCCAGGCATTTTTCCCTGTTCATCTGGGTTTTGTCGACGGGTTTGGGGGTTGATCCGGGAGACAAGATTAGGACCCCAATGGAAATAAGTTAGACAGTCTTCATGACACCTTTTTTGGGTTATCTGGGTGGCAAACCCCTCGGGGTTTAAATTGTTTCTTGGTAATTGCTTCACGTTAAGCCACACCAACAACACTCCCCAAAATTTTCGAGAAATTCAGCTGAGGGGTGGTGCAGCAAAAAAAAGCTGTGGTGCAGTGACCATGGTGCAGCAGAGCTGGGTGCAGCAACAGCTTGACAGGTTGCAGCTGCAGTGCAGCAGAGCTGACGGGTCCAATTTTTTAGTGACTGGTAGGATGTATTTATCACCCTTTTTACCACGGGTTGACACTAGAAGCTTTTTTGGGCCATGGTGGCTTATTTAGCAGTTACAAGCATATAAATAATGGAAAAATACAAAAAAGTATCGATGTATGATGCAACCCGGCCCCCTGTTTTTAAAAAATGACGGCAAGGCGGCGTAGGTGGCGGACAGGGTTTGGGGGTCTGTTTGAACACTGTGGTGCAAAAGCAGCTGACCGTGGTGCGAGCAGCTGACTGATCCAGCAACAGCTGATGGTCCAGAACAGCTGACTGATCCCCAAGTGGGTGACCGCAACAGCTGCTGGTCGCAAAAGCTGCTGTCCAGCAACAGCTGCTAGCCAGCAAAAAGTGACTATCCGCAACAGTGACTGATTGCAACCTGTGATCCGCAACGTATTCTTAAATCCCAAACCCCTTTTCTGCTTTTTAAAATTACCAATTGACATAGTTCCCCGGCGTTTTTTCCCCGTTCACCTGGGTGTTGTGATGGGGTGGGTTGCATCCTGGGAGACAAGATTAAAGGGCCCCAATGGAAAAAAGTTGACAGTCTTCGTGACAATTTTTTGGGTTTCCCGGGTGGCTAACCTTGGGGGTTTAAATTTTTTTTGGTATTCTAAAAAAAACAACAACAACTGGGTTTTTACAGCCAGCAGCAGCAACTGCAGTTTACAGCGCGCAGCAGCTGACGTGCTACAGCAGCAGCGACGGCTACAGCAGCAGCAGAGGTACTAACGCGCAGCCCGCGGTACTACGCAGCAGCAGCAGACGGTACTACGCAGCGCAGCAGGCTGTATACAGCGCAGCAGCAGACGGTACTACGGCCCCGCAGAGACGGTACTACGCAGCAGCAGCCTGCGGTGGTACAGGCAGCAGCTGACGGCTACAGCAGCACCAGCAGTGACGTGCTGCAGCAGCCGTGACAGTGCTACGCAGCAGCGCAATGTACAGCAGCAGCGCGGTTCTTCAAACGCAGCAGCAGCTGGGGGGGGTTTCAGCGCGCAGCAAGGCGGTGGTGAGCAGCAGCAGCGCGCGGTGGTGCAGCAGCGCAGCAAGCTGACGGTGGTACGCAGCGCAGCAGTGCGGGTTTCTAAACAGCAGCAGCTGACGCGCTACAGCGCAGCGCACAGATAGCGTTGACCATGGTACCACAGTATTTCGATAAAATTTTCCCCTTTTTTCCCCGGGTTGGGACTGAAGCTTTTTGGGGCCCATGGTCACTTTGCGATAAAATCACCAAAAAAACTGTAATAATAAAATGTTTAAATTGTTGCTTGGGTGTTACCGCGGAGGTGGCTTGAAACAATGCCCCGGCGGGCATGGAGGTGGCTCAGGCTCACATGGTGTCTCGAGAACGCGTTGAGGGGGTTTTTTTGCAATGGAGGCAAATTTTTAGCGATAAAAAGTATCGGTATGCGGATTTAATGTTATGTAAAGGGCCCAACGGTATGCGGGGGTCCACTGTATATAACGAAAAAGTATGGTACCACACCTATACTTGTCACTCCACAGCGACCTGTCACCCCACAAGGAGAGAGGGAAGTGCCCAACTTAATAATCCCCAACTGTCACTCCCTGATACCAATACCATCTACTCCAAAGAATAAGTACTCTCAGAAAAAGTGTGTTGTGTGTGCTTACACTACACAGTGACCCCAAGTGCGAAAAGACACATGATTCATGTCAGCAATGTGGGGTGGCACTGTATGAATCCATGCTTCTTGGAGTATCCTACAGTGGTGGACTTACAGAAACATAAATGAAACCTGTAAATATCTTGTTTATATATGTAAACAATAGTATGTGATTGAACCAGGTGTATAAATTCATCTATCAGTGTGAACATGTGTGTGACAGTGTGATTACTAATTCAGTACCAAACATTTGTCTCAACAAGAATTGGCTATGAAATCAAAAGATCTACAGCAAAACGTTATTATCATAATATGAAAGCAACAAAAAATAGTAAAGAATTGGGAAAAAAAAAACGTTTATTGTTTCTGCAAGTGGCAGTGCTCCCTGTTGTCGACACCTCATCATTTAGCAAGAACTTTGTGGGTTTATATCTCAGTAAGTACTGGCCCTTGAATTTTTTTTTAATCTTGCAACATTTATAAAAATGCTTTCTTCATTAAGATTTTTTTTTTTTTTAATGTTTGGACCGTTATGTGAGTGAATGTAGATTTATGTTTGGAGAGTTTAAGGGTTAAAGAATGCAGAAAAAATCTGGGAAGATTTTTTTCAACCTTATTCAAGCTAAGGATCTCAAACGAGATGCCTGGTAGTGCCAGAATTTTTATACTGAGAGGAGGGGCTTAGGGGTTACTATCTGGTTGGAATGGAGGGAAAGCTAGGAGACATGTTTTGAAGCAGCATTATTATTACTTTTTTATTTGGGGATTTTGTAGGGACTGCAGTTACTCACCCCTCTTCAGTCCATTCCCCACACCCCCTTTAGTTCATTCTTAATGGATATTCTCTCCCTCGCCTTTTCAGTTTACTTCATCACTCCTATATTCTTTTCCCTCTATCACTCCTTTCATCTTTTCACCCTCTGCCTCTTAAACCCCTTCTTCCTCCTTTCCACTCCAACTTCCTCCTCTCCCATTTACCCATGACCCTCTTTCTGATCGCACTCAACCTCACTCCTTACCTCGTACGCTAATACCGTTACTTCATCTTGTCCTTTTTTCTCCTCTCCATTTCCAATCTTTTTAGTCCTGGTTTGTCTCTTTCCCTCTCCTCTTTTTTTACGTCTCCCCTTTCTTTTTCCATCTGTATTTGACTTTCACGAGTGGTGCATGTAGGTGTATGAGTTCAGTTTATTTTTTAATGGAAAAATACATATTTACATCGGAAGTCATGTGCACATGTTACTATTGAATGTGGTGCAATTACAGTATTATGGTGTGGCTGCACATTGTTGAGAATATTGATTCTCTGGTGATAGAAATAGCATAATCCCCAAAATGCTATTCACATTTGAAATTTTGTGAGGTGGTAACCATCCCAAAATGGAGCACCTGAAAATAGTATCATCTCTATAAAAATAAGTTTGTGTGCTATTGTGCTGCATCACACACAAGAACTGCATTGTAATGCAAGTAACTCTTCAGCCTTTATGCTTCTCACTGATATGTGACAAGCGTGTTGCACTATTTATCTGCATTTCACATGTGATATGCTACTTAAATAATGGATTCAAGAAAGTGGCCATGTCTTTGCAAGGCTTCAAATAGTCCTTTACACCTAAGAGAAAATGTGGAATGCTGTCTTAGAAAAATATTGACCATCTGAAGCAGCACCCTGCTTGTTCATGCCTTCAAGAAGTAGCTGATCTAATATCCATTTCTACATATTTGGAGTTTTTACATTATCCAGTATAGTATATAAATATTAATAGTTTTTGGTCTCTGTAGTTTGCGCATTATGTAGTTTTTCCAACATTAATTTTCATGCTACTTTTTTTTTTTTTTTATCTTTTTTGGTAGACTTATTTGTTTTTGTTTTCTTTTTCCTTCTCTTCTGACTGCAGAGTAATGAGATAAAGAGTACATCCACTAGTACTACTACTACTTCTACTAACCCATGGGCAACCCAGCAGGGAACCCAGGAGAGCCAGGGATATGGGAGCTACAGCAACTACAGCAACCCGAACTGGAGCAACCCGAGTTATGGCTATAACCAAGGTTACAATGGCTGGAACCAACAATACTATCAGCAGCAGCATCAGACACAACCTCAACAGTACTGGGGGACAGTGAGTACTTAAAGATTTCTTAGTTATCTACATTCATTATACAGGTTCTTTATTAATAACAAGTAACAATTTATAGACATCAGAAGCACTGATGATTTCTAGGCTTAGATGTAAAATGCTTTAACAATGAGTTATACACCATTAACCCTTTTACTGTCGCAACATCCAGAATTAAAAGTGCCAATGTTGTCACAATTTTTTTTTTTTTTTTTACATATTGGCCATCTCCCACCAAGGCAGGCCCCCCCCCCCCCCCCAAAAAAAAAAAAAAAAAACTTTTACCATCATTTACTCCATAACTCTAGCTAGAGGTTAACTGATACCACAATTCAAATGCCCCCTTCCCTGCCAACTACAAATATCCCGACCCCTCCTGCAGAGTGTAAGCACTGTACTTTCTACCTCCAGGACTCTGGTCTGGCTAACGAATTTCTCTAAATCACTTCACAAAACGTTACCTTCCTCACACTCCAACAGCCTGTCAAGTTCCAAAAAACATTAACCTCCACTTGTCTTTAATTAACCCTTAAATGTCCAAATGTAGATCTACATTTGCTCGCGTAGCACTCCAAACGTAGATCTATGTTTGATTTTACATGCTTTCTTGTGTAAAAAAAAAAAATTGATCTACGTTAAGAGCTCTATGCGAGCGAACGTAGATCTATGTTTGGACAGTTTAAGGGTTAACATGCTCTCTCAAACACCTGTTGAGTGTTCAAGCCCCTTGCACACAAAACCTTTGCCCCCAGCCTCCAGCCATTCCTAGAGTGACTCCTATCCTGCCTTCTCACCATTTCAGATTTATACACCCTCCAAGTCATCCTGTTTTGCTCCATCTTCTCTAAATGTTCAGACCACCTCACCCCTTTTTCAGCACTCTCGATAATGCTTTTAACAGCTGTACCTTCTCCTAATTTCCAAGCTATGAATTCTCTGCATAATATTTACACCACACATTACCCTCAGACACAACATGTCCACTGCATCCAGACTCCTAGCTATAACATTCACAACCCATGAAGGAAATGAAAAACTTGCAATGAGATATAAACAAATCTATCACAGTGGCAGTGGAAAATAACATGCTCTAATTATTAGATAGGAGAGAATGAAGAACTCGAGAGCATCAAAAAACAAGATCACTAGATCGAACGATAGGACCACGTGAGCAGTCGAGATGTTGGTCCTGAGGGCAATGCAGTGTGAATATTATGCAAAAAATCCATACTTTGGAGATTAGGAGAGGTGGATTTCTAAAAGTACGGCCTCCTCCAACTATGTTGCGAGGTTAGGGTGACAAGAGCCTGTGAACTGTTAAAATTCGCGATGCTTGTGCCACGCCCAGTATATTGTAAGGAAATACAATACTCCTGGCGTGCATAACCATATTGAACCATGAACATCGTAAAATACAATGAAAACTGATAAAAAAAAGTATAGTCGAGTTGGAGACAGCAGCCACCCAGAAGTACTACCGTCCTGCAGATGACTGTGAAATCAAAAACCATACTGAGTTAGGCATGGATGTAGGATTGCTGGTAAGTCCTTTTTCTGTCTCATAACATGCAGATTTCAGGTACGTCTTGCTACTTTACTATACACTTGGTCACCCTAGACATACATGTACAAGCAAATAATACACAACCCCTCTGGGTTTTCTCTATTCTTTCAGTTCTATTCTGTTAATTCCTAACTTATTCTCCATGGGAAGTGGAACAGAATTCTATCCTCCGTAAGCCGATGCGTGTGTAAAGCAACAAAATGCCGGGCAATGAGGGCTGAGTAACCTTTTTCTCCGATATATTACTAATGTAAAAGGAGAAACTTGTCTTTTTCCTTTGGGCCACACCCCGCCACGTGGATGGCGTGTGTTGATAGAAAGATCTAGGTTTTTCTCCTTTTTCTAAATAGCTCTTGTTCTTTTTTATTCTTCTATTGTCCATGGGGAAGTGGAAAAGAATCTTTCCTCCGTAAGCCATGCGTGTCGTATAAGGCGACTAAAATGCCGGGAGCAATGGCTAGTAACCCCCTTCTCCTGTATACATTTACCTAAAAAAGAGAAGAAGAAAAACTTATATAAACTGGGATGCTTAAATGTGCGTGGATGTATGCGGATGACAAGAAACAGATGATTGCTGATGTTATGAATGAAAAGAAGTTGGATGTCCTGGCTCTAAGCGAAACAAAGCTGAAGGGGGGTAGGAGAGTTTCAGTGGGGGGAAATAAATGGGATTAAATCTGGAGTATCTGAGAGAGTTAGAGCAAAGGAAGGGGTAGCAGTAATGTTAAATGATCAGTTATGGAAGGAGAAAAGAGAATATGAATGTGTAAATTCAAGAATTATGTGGATTAAAGTAAAGGTTGGATGCGAGAAGTGGGTCATAATAAGCGTGTATGCACCTGAGAAGAGAGGAATGCAGAGGAGAGAGAGAATTTTGGGAGATGTTAAGTGAATGTATAGGAGCCTTTGAACCAAGTGAGAGAGTAATTGTGGTAGGGGACCTGAATGCTAAAGTAGGAGAAACTTTTAGAGAGGGTGTGGTAGGTAAGTTTTGGGGTGCCGGGTTTGTAAATGATAATGGGAGCCCTTTGATTGAACTTTGTATAGAAAGGGGTTTAGTTATAGGTAATACATATTTTAAGAAAAAGAGGATAAATAAGTATACAAGATATGATGTAGGGCGAAATGACAGTAGTTTGTTGGATTATGTATTGGTAGATAAAAGACTGCTGAGTAGACTTCAGGATGTACATGTTTATAGAGGGGCCACAGATATATCAGATCACTTTCTAGTTGTAGCTACACTGAGAGTAAAAGGTAGATGGGATACAAGGAGAATAGAAGCATCAGGGAAGAGAGAGGTGAAGGTTTATAAACTAAAAGAGGAGGCAGTTAGGGTATAAGTTAGGTGTATAAGTGGATGACGGGCATAAACAAGGGAGACATTAATAAAGTACTGAGGGTGTCGAATCAGGTAAGAACCAGGAATAATGGATTTAAGTTGGATAAATTTAGATTTAGAAAGGACATAGGTAAGTACTGGTTTTCTAACAGAGTTGTAGATGCGTGGAACAGTCTTCCCAGTGGGGTGATAGAGGTTAGGACCTTGGGTAGCTTTAAGAAGAGACTGGACAAATATATGAGTGGGAGGGGCTGGGTTTGATTGGTGTCAAGGGGTATGGGAGTTATTTCTTGAGTAGCTTTAGGTAGATGTCGTTTTGATAAGGACCTGCCTCGTATGGGCCAGTAGGCCTTCTGCAGTGTTCCTACATCTTATGTTCTTATGTTCTTAAGATATAAACAGCTATTGGAGGATATGGGCTAATGAGAGCATAGGCAATGGGGTCGAAGAGGTATGGGGTAGGATTAAAAATGTAGTGTTAGAGTGTTCAGCAGAAGTTTGTGGTTACAGGAAAGTGGGTGCAGGAGGGAAGAGGAGCGATTGGTGGAATGATGATGTAAAGAGAGTAGTAAGGAGAAAAAGTTAGCATATGAGAAGTTTTTACAAGTAGAAGTGATGCAAGGAGGGAAGAGTAATGGAGAAAAAGAGAGAGGTTAAGAGAGTGGTGAAGCAATGTAAAAGAGAGTCAATGAGAGAGTGGGTGAGATGTATATCAACAAATTTTGTTGAAAAAAAAAAAGTTTGGAGTGAGATTACAAGTTAAGAAGCCAGAGAACAAATGGATTTGTCAGTTAAAAATAGGAGAGAGAGTTATTAAATGGAGATTAGAGGTATTGGAAGATGGAGGGAATATTTTGAGGAATTGTTAAATGTTGATGAAGATAGGGAAGCTGTGATTTCGTGTATAGGCAAGAGGAATAACATCTTGTAGGAGTGAGGAAGAGCTAGTTGTGAGTGGGGGGAAGTTCGTGAGGCAGTAGGTAAAATGAAGGGGTAAGCAGCCGGGATTGATGGGATAAAGATAGAAATGTTAAAAGCGGTGGGGATATAGTTTTGGAGTGGTTGGTGCAATTATTTAATAAATGTATGGAAGAGGGTAAGGTACATAGGGATTGCAGAGAGCATGCATAGTTCCTTTGTATAAAGGCAAAGGGGATAAAAGAGTGTGCAAAAATTATAGGGGATAAGTCGTTGAGTGTACCTGGTAAAGTGTATGGTAGGTTATATTGAAAGAATTAAGAGTAAGACGGAGAATAGATAGCAGATGAACAAGGAGGCTTTAGGAAAGGTAGGGGGTGTGTGACCAGGTGTTTTACAGTGAAACATATAAGTGAACAGTATTAGATAAGGCTAAAGAGGTCTTTGTGGCATTTATGGATTTGGAAAAGGCGTATGACAGGGTGGATAAGGGGGCAATGTGGCAGATGTTGCAAGTGTATGGTGTAGGAGGTAGGTTACTGAAAGCAGTGAAGAGTTTTTACGAGGATAGTGAGGCTCAAGTTAGAGTATGTAGGAAAGAGGGAAATTTTTTCCCAGTAAAAGTAGCCTTAGACAAGGATGTGTGATGTCACCGTGGTTGTTTAATATATTTATAGATGGGGTTGTAAGAGAAGTAAATGCGAGGGTCTTGGCAAGAGGCGTGGAGTTAAAAGATAAAGAATCACACACAAAGTGGGAGTTGTCACAGCTGCTCTTTGCTGATGACACTGTGCTCTTGGGAGATTCTGAAGAGAAGTTGCAGAGATTGGTGGATGAATTTGGTAGGGTGTGCAAAAGAAGAAAATAAAGGTGAATACAGGAAAGAGTAAGGTTATAGGATAACAAAAAGATTAGGTGATGAAAGATTGAATATCAGATTGGAGGGAGAGAGTATGGAGGAGGTGAACGTATTCAGAATTTGGGAGTGGAACGTGTCAGCGATGGGTCTATGAAAGATGAGGTGAATCATAGAATTGATGAGGGAAAAAGAGTGAGTGGTGCACTTAGGAGTCTGTGGAGACAAAGAACTTTGTCCTTGGAGGCAAAGAGGGAATGTATGAGAGTATAGTTTTACCAACGCTCTTATATGGATGTGAAGCGTGGTGATGAATGTTGCAG